CAAGTTTGACTGGAAGGAACTCCGGTTCCAAGATTACAAATCTGTGGATGACTACAACTCCGAACTCTTTCGGATAGTTTTCAATCATGAAACTATGTGGTGAAGAGGTGTCTGATAATGATCTCCTCGAGAAAACATTATCCACCTTCCATACCCAAAATATTGTGCTTCAGCAACAATATCGTGCAATGAAACATACATTGTACGAAGATTTGTTATCCTATTTGCTCTTGGCCGAGAAAAACAATGACCTGTTAATGAGGAACAGTGCCCAGAGGCCCCCGGGATCGGCTCCAGTACCAGATTCCCGCAAAGAATCCTACAATGTCCAGCGAGACAGATCCTCAGATCGTGGCCATGGACATGGGAATGGACGTGGGAATGGACGTGGAAAGCGTGAACGCGGAAACGGACGTGGCAACCGACATAACCTCAGTTATGGTTCCGGTAAAGGCCGTGGTATCTCTAAACCAAACCGCCCTGCCCACCCAACCAATCAGTCTGCCTGTACCAGATGCGGAATGTTCAATCACTGGACAAAGAACTGTCGTACTCCCAAGTTTCATTGCGATTTGTATCAGAAACATGGGAAAGCACCTGCTGAAGCTAACATGGCCCAACAAGTTGATGCTAACGACACCACCACCGAGCCGACCGATCTCATGGACTACGAGACCTCAGATCTCCTCGATTGATTCTATCATCTGAACACTTGCTTATTTTGATTTTGTTTCTTTTCATTTTGGGGATTTGTTTTATTTTCATTTGCTATTTATTTTCAGACATTTTGATATTTTATTAATTTATGAATCTTATGATTTACTCATTTTTAAATCATACATCTTGTTTAAATTGAAGATATGAACACTCAAAAGGATATCATAGTGGTGGATAGTGGATCCAGCCACACTATCCTCAAAGACAAGAGTTATTTCATAAATTTAATCATGCAAACCGCGAATATTAGCACAATAGCGGGTAGCTCGAACTTAATAGAAGGCCACGGCCAGGCCCATGTGTTGTTATCAAACGGCACATATCTGGACATTCCAGATGCATTATACTCACCCAGCTCAAAAAGAAACCTTTTAAGTTTTAAAGATATCAGACTTAATGGTTTCCACATAGAAACCCAGGGTGAAGGGAATAAAGAATCCCTACTGATCACTAAGATCACACTTGGCCATAAACAAGTCCTCGAGACTATACCCGCTTTATCTACTGGCCTTTACTATGCCAAGGTCAGTATGATTGAGGCTAATAATGCTCTCAAAGCCCGGTTCCAAGACTACACTATTTGGCACGACCGGCTTGGTCATCCCGGTACAACCATGATGCATAAATTAATCCAAAGTTCTCAAGGACACACCCTTCGAGAAAACCGAGTCTTCCCTCAGCACCTCATGTGCACAGCTTGCTCCCAAGGGAAGTTGATCACTCGGCCTTCACCAGTAAAAGTGTCCAAAGAGACATTGCATTTTCTGGAAAGAATCCAAGGAGATATCTGTGGTCCCATTCACCCACCTTCTGGGACATTCCGGTACTTCATGGTACTAATAGATGCTTCGACCCGTTGGTCGTATGTATGCCTGTTGTCTTCTCGGAACCAAGCTTTTGCTAGGTTGTTGGCTCAAATCATCAGATTACGAGCCCACTTTCCAGACTTCCCACTAAAGACTATACGTCTTGATAATGCTGGTGAATTCACTTCCCAAGCGTTTAATGATTACTGTATGGCCATGGGGGTGACCATTGAACATCCTGTGGCACATGTCCATACTCAGAATGGACTTGCTGAATCATTCATTAAACGAATCTAATGGATTGCTCGATCATTACTCATGAGGTCGAAACTCCCGGTCTCAGCTTGGGGACATGCAGTATTACATGCTGCTGAACTAATACGCATCCGACCATCTAGTGAGCATAGATATTCCCCATCCCAATTATTACAGGGTCATGAGCCAGACATCTCCCATCTCAAAACATTTGGGTGCTCAGTATATGTACCCATCGCTCCACCACATAGAACCAAAATGGGACCTCAAAGGAGGATGGGAATATATGTTGGTTTTGATTCTCCCACCATCATCAAATATCTCGAGCCGACCACTGGAGACCTATTTAAGGCCAGATATGCGGATTGCCAATTTGATGAATCGGTATATCCAACATTGGGTGGAGAGAAACACAAGCTGGTCAAAGAGCTATCATGGAATCAAACATCCTTAAATTGGCAAGATCCTCGGACTCTAGAATGTGATTCGGAGATCCAAAAGATTATACACTATCAAAAGCTAGCTAATCAATTGCCAGATTCCTTTGCTGACCCGAACAAAGTAACCAAATCGTACATACCAGCTTGTAATGCACCAGTACGAATCACTGTTCCAACGGGACAAGTTCAAGTTGCTACAGAGTCTGCATCACGAAATAAACGTGGCAGACCTCTAGGTTCCAAAGACAAGAATCCACGGAAATCAAAGAAAGGTGCAATAGTTGAAACCGGGATTCCCAATATAACAGACATAGCGCGCGCTGAGACTCACTCTAATGAACCACCAGAAGAGGTTCGGGACGCCGAATCTCTAGGTTCTGACGAGATCGATAACAATGAGATCTCTATCAATTACAACATGTCTGGAACCCAATGGAACAAAAAAGAAGTCGACTTAAATGCACTCTTTTCATACAAAGTAGCACTTGATATTGCGAACACGCAAGAGGATCTAGAACCCACGTCTATCATAGAGTGCACTCATAGAACAGACTGGCTAAAATGGAAAGAAGCCATAAACGTGGAGTTAAAGAGTCTCAAACTCAGGAATGTGTTTGGTCCGATCATCCGGACACCATTCAATGTCAAACCAGTGGGCCATAAATGGGTCTTTGTGCGTAAAAGAAACGAACTCGGTGAAGTCGTTCGTTATAAAGCACGGCTTGTAGCACAAGGATTCTCACAGAGACCCGGAATCGATTATGAGGAGACTTATTCTCCGGTGGTGGATGCAACTACTTTTCGATTCCTCATAAGTCTGGCCATAAGAGAAAATCTAGATTTGCGGTTAATGGATGTTGTCACCGCATATCTCTATGGGCCCCTCGACAATGAAATATACATGAGATTACCAGATGGCATAGAGCTTAAAGATAAGCATGCATCTCGAGATCAATACTGCATCAGGCTGAACAAATCCTTGTATGGACTGAAACAAAGTGGACGTATGTGGTATAACCGGTTAAGCGAATATCTCATCAGAGAAGGCTACAAAAACGATCCCATCAGTCCATGCATTTTCATCAAGAAATACTCAAACAAAGGATTTGTAATCATAGCAGTTTACGTGGATGATCTAAACATCCTCGGAACATCTGGTGAAATCTCCCAAACAGTCGACTGCTTGAAAGCAGAATTCGAAATGAAAGACCTAGGTAAAACTAAATTCTGTTTGGGTTTACAACTTGAGTACGTTAAAGGAGGAATCCTTGTGCATCAAGCGGCTTACATTGAAAAAGTACTCAAGCGATTCAATATGGACCAGGCCCACCCATTGAACAGCCCAATGGTTGTCCGGAGCCTAGGATTGGACAGTGATCCATTTGGTCCCAAGAAGGACGATGAAGAAATTCTCGGTCCAGAAAAGCCATACCTCAGTGCTGTAGGAGCGTTAATGTACTTGGCTAGTCACACTAGACCAGACATTTGTTTTGCCGTGAACCTCCTAGCTCGCTTCAGCTCATGTCCAACTCAGAGGCACTGGAATGGTATCAAACACCTCCTAAGATACCTTCAAGGTACTAAAGACTTAGGACTGTTTTACACTAACCACAACAAGGATGGACTAGTTGGTTTTGCTGATGCAGGATATCAATCAGATCCGCACAATGCCAAGTCTCAAACTGGTTATGTGTTCACGCATGGAGGAACAGCTATCTCTTGGAGATCGATAAAGCAGACAATCACTACCACTTCATCAAACCATGCAGAACTTTTGGCCATTCACGAAGCCAGCAGAGAATGTGTTTGGCTACGATCCATGACTCAGCACATCCGATCAGATTGTGGTATGAAAGAAGATAAGGAGCCCACGGTTATGTTTGAAGACAACGCGGCTTGCATTGCTCAACTCAAGGAAGGTTATATCAAAGGAGATCGGACGAAGCACATCCTACCGAAATTCTTCTCAACCTCGGATTGGCAGAAGGATGGTACGATCAGCGTTCAACAGGTCCGATCATGCGATAACTCCGCCGACCTTTTCACCAAATCATTGCCCGCTTCAACACTCCGGAAGCTCATCCAACAAATAGGAATGTGTAGACTTAGAGATCTACGGTGATGCTCTAATCAGGGGGAGTAATGCGTGTTGTACTCTTTTTCCTTCACCATGGTTTTTCCCACTGGGTTTTCCTGGTAAGGTTTTAATGAGGCAACATTCCCCAGCGTATTATCGAGATCCCGATTGACCATCAGGTCCGGTTACTCCGTCCAAGGGGGAGTGTTATAATACATCATATTGGACTTATAACCGGGCCCAATAAGCCCATCAGGGTTATTCATTATGTACTCTAAAACCCTAGGTTTATATGTCTATATATATGTATCATTATTCATGGAATGGAATAAGATAACAATAAGTTTCACAACATTTACGAATTTTTCAGGTTTGAATAAATAGTAACTAAAGTGAAATCATGAGAAAGACTTATTGATCTACCTGCAAAAAATTTGAAGGGCAGTTAGTGAGAGCATCGATTGATAAACATACTAAGGTATTTGTGTCAATCAATAAATGACATAATACAATTTAAATTAATAAAAGTTATCATTTATTTTATATACTCTAAAACTACAAATACAAATATTGTAAAAAAAAAACACAAAGTTAGTACTAACTACAAAAAAAAAATCTCAAATAAAATTTAAGTTGTTTTTGTTTATTTAAAAGGACCATCACAACTCCTCTTTCCTTAGTTCACATCTCTTAACTATCCAAATCACTAAAGAAAGAAGAAAAAAAAAACCTTCAACAATGTTGGTTTATATGAAGCTTTCCATTTTTCTTATTGTCATGCTAACGTTCTCACAATCCTACTCCGATCTAGTCCGCTTTGAAGATGACAACATCAATGAGCTCATAACAATGATGATCCGAGTTTGCAAAGGATATGATGACAAACCGTCATGTCAAAACCTCTTGTTGAAGCTCAAGACGGTATCTTCGTCACTTTTGGAGATGAGACGTCGTGACTTATTGATCTTCGTCTTGAAAAACTCCGTGTGGAGGGTCGACATGGTTATGATTGGTGTGAGGAAAGACACAAAACTACTTGAGGAGATGGAGATGGAGAGTGATATGCTTGGTGTGAGGGAGGACACAAATCGATTTGAGGAGATGAATAGATGATGAAGTCGGCAAAAGATAGGATGATCCGTTCAGTAGAGGAACTCTTGGGAGGAGGAAGCCCTAATCTTGGATCTTACGAAAACGTCCACACTTGGCTCAGTGGTGTTCTTACTAGCTACATCACATGTATCGACGGAATTGGTGAAGGTGTCTATAAACGTCGGGTCAACCCAGAGCTTGAGGAACTCATTTCTAGAGCAAGAGTAAAAAAACATTCTATACCGCAACTATTGGTAAGAATTTGTGTTCTCTTCATGAATAGTTTATAGTTTCTTTTCTTTATACCAAGCTACTACATTCTTAACGACCACAATTATACTAAACATACAATTGCAGCTTCTAATTGGTAAAGGATTTATCGGAATATACATGTGCTTTCGGAACACGGCCGGACCGGCGAAGGGACCAGCTGTTGCCCTTCGTGTGAGTGGTGATATGTCCGTTATTCACCGATGTCGTATCGAGGGATATCAAGATGTGTTGTATCCTCACAGAGATCGCCAGTTTTACAGGGAGTGTTTTATTACTGGCACTGTTGATTTTATTTGTAGATTCGCGGCGGCAGTCTTCCAATTGTGTAGAATCGAAGCAAGAAAACCTGTGAGGGGGCAGGGAAACGTGATAACCGCTCAGTCCCGCTCAATTTTGTACCAAAAGTCAGGCTTCTCGATCCAAAAGTGCAACATCACTGCAAGCTCTGACCTCTATCCTCTTAAAGCAACCATGAAAACTTTTTTTGGTCGTCCATGGAAGAAGTTTTCAACAGTTGCGATTCTACAATCTTTCATCGACGAATTAGTTGATCCTGCAGGCTGGACTCCCTGGGAAGGAGAAACTGGTCTATCAACTCTCTACTACGGAGAATATCAAAACAATGGTCCAGGAGCTGTGACTAGCAAGAGGGTCAACTGGACAGGGTTTAGAGTTATTAGTGATCCTAAAGAGGCGGCAAAATTCACTATTGATGAGCTTTTACATGGCGAATCGTGGCTGAAGGATAGTGGAGTTCCCTACGAAGGAGGCCTCTAATGATACTGTTTCTTTAAAGAGAAATCTAACTAATGTGCCATTTACCGTTAAAAAACTTAGCAAAAAATGCCACAAAACATAAATCTTTCCAAATGTGCCATAATGGTGGACAACATTTCTTGTCCACCAAAATTTTTGTCTGTTGTTTCAAAGGTGGACAGGATTTTTTGTCCACCAAATCTCTTCCCAATCTGTTGTCTTAAAGGTGGACAACATTTCTTGTCTACCACATATTTTCGTTTCAAAGTCCTGTCCACCATTATGGCACATTTGGAAGAGAAAACTAAGAAATGTGCCATACACTGTTCAAAATCTTTTCAAAATTGCCACAGCCCAATAATGCTTTCTCAATGTGCCACAGCCCAACAATTGCCCTAATATGTAAAGACTATTATACCCTTGAAGAGAGAAGTCGTTTTCTGCAGAACAAAGTCAAACTGTCTGACTTAAAACAGTGTCACGTCATATCTGTCTCGAAAACTACCATTTTCTTTTTTTCTCGACAGTTTTAGCCGCGAAAATAATTTTCGAGCGAACCTTTCATATTCTCTCGTCCAACAGAAGAGTGAATTAGGGTTCTTCATTTCTTCCAAATTTGGGAAGATAAAGAGTAATAATCAACAAAGGGTTTTCGATTTTTAAAGATCCGATTTTGTTATCATGCCATACAACCCTTTCGCTTTTCTAAATCCGAGGACTGCAAAGGATGACGACTTCGATTCCTCAAACACTAAGTCTGGGTAATTTTCGGGCATCTCTACTCTCCGATGGTTTCTGCTTTTGTTCATGTTACTAACCAACAATTTATTCTTCATATTTCATCCAGTGGGAAGATAACAGATCCGGATAAACCCTCCTCTTCGACCTCTCCCCTTCCCTTGAATAATCCATCAGCTGACATGAAGGAACATCTCCCATTGATTTCGTCAACATCCGATGACCTGAACGAACATCTCCCATGGATGTCGTCACCATCTAGGTTTGGATTTTCACAATTTTACTTAGTTGGAGACTTTTGTCGGATTTTTTGGTTTTCTAACATTTATTTCTCCATTTTATCTGTTGTTGTCCACCAGATCTAACCGGGCCGCTTCCAATCCTTCCGATTCCTTGCGATTATCTCCGGTGAATTCCTCCCCATCAAGGTAATGTAAATAGTCTTCTAGATGTTGTCTACTCTTTTAATAAAAAATTGTCTGCGATTAACAATTTTAATCTTTTATCTTATTCGACAGATCGCAGACAACAGAGACGGCTCAAATCGCCGGTTCTCCAACAGCCCTTTTTGGGCCAGATCCCCCGGAAGTCCACGACAATATTCCCTCCGATTTCGTACCATCTCCAAGGTTCGTTGTCATCAAGCAACTGTTTTTTCTGAGTGACAAGTTTGGGTGTTGACCTAAGTTGTCCTCTATTTTTATTTGTTGTCCTCACACCTTCGTGAGGTTGATCTAAAAAACTTTTGTCGGATTCCACAGATCGAAGACAACAGATGAAGGAGATGGCTCTACAGCCAATCTCGGGCCAGATCCCCCGGAAGACCAGAATAATCTCCCCTCTGATCCCGTAAATCTTTCAAGGTCAGAAATTGTCCTCTGGTTAATATGTTGTCTATCAAAATTTGGAGGACTTATATGTCGAAAACCAAATTTGTCCTCCTCATTTTTTTTTGGTCTCCCACTTTTGGACTGATAAATACTTTTACAGAGGACAAGTTTTGTGATAGACATATTGTCTCCCATTTTTTAATGAGGATCATTGTTTCCTTGTTTGTTTTCGGAGGAATAATGTTTTGGTCTACCTTTTACTTGTCCACAGGGATTGTGTTAGTCCACAAGATATCCCTGCAGAGTACTCTCCAGCCCTCCTCCCTCCTCGGTTGTTTGCAACAGACCGGTATCCTCTCAAAGGCCGTATAAATTCATACTCTAGACCTGAGTATTTGCTAGACCTTGTTGAAGTATTAGATGGTACAGAGGAGTTTAAGTGGCTGAAATCTACTTGCTTTGGTCGTCTATTTCAACTACCAGTCCGGAAGAGCTCTCTGTCTGGGAAACTAGTCCATCAAATTCTCTATCGCTCCCTTGTAACCAAAAAGAAATATGAAATGTGGTTTGTTTTTGCGGGCCATCCCATCCGCTTCTCTCTCAAAGAATTTGCTATCCTCACTGGTTTAAATTGTGGTCCATTCCCTCCCCCTGAAGAAAAAAAGAAGATGCAGGCTAAAGAACCTGGTGATGATGATTACTTCAACATTCTAATAGGTCCCAAAAAGACATACTCCATTCGAGACATTGTTAGTATGCTGAAGCGCGATAAGAAGTTACCAAGAAGCCAGAGAATGAGTGGTGATCGTAGGCTACAACTGGCTCTCATTGTTATTGTTGAGGGGATTTTGGTTTGTAATTCCTCCAAAGTTAGACCATCAAAGAAAGTTGCAGAGATGGTTAAGGATGTAGAGGCATTTGTCAGATACCCTTGGGGCCGCAAGTCTTTTAAAAAGACGCTGGAGATGGTCAAACTTGGTCCCTATAATCAATTTGTTGCCAATCTTGCTGATAAACTAAGTCAGTCTCATACAGCAACACACAACTTCCCGCTCTCATTCCAACTTCTGGCTCTCCACACCATACCACTTCTTGAGAGGTATTTACCTGATTTAAAGGATGAGCAAACGTTTACTGACAGATCAGTGCTTCAACTCACCCAGCTGAAGACCTATCACAATTCCAACATATTCCAAACAGAAAACGATCCTCTTGTAAGTGATATTTTGCACATAAATTCAGCAATTTCATATTTGTTTACCTTTCCTATCTTAAACATAACTTTTTTCTTAACAAGGTTGATGTGGAGAGCATTATCCACACTGACGATGGTGATGATCTCCAGAACTACTCTTGGAGTGATGAGGTTGAGGATATGGCAGTGGACATAATTTGGAACAAGTTGAAAGATGGGCATTGTTTCAATAAATCTGACTGGCATAGTGGTCTACTACATCACCCACTGATGACTGATGCTATGTTTGCGGCTGAGAAGAAAAAAAAATGTTCCAGCTCCAATCCCCAGGAAGCAAGGAACCAAGAAGCAGGGAACCAAAATTGGTGACATTCCAACCACATCAAAAACCAGGGAAGCAGAAATGGTTCCTGGCATTCCTGTTACTGTTGATCTTTCTACAGCAGAAGGTCTCCTCCGTGAGGTTGATCGGAGGAATCATGAGCACACTCCCAAGATTGAGGAGATGTGGAGAATTGAGAGGGCGGTATACAAAGACGAGATAGTTGATGAGGTATTATCCATATTGAGGGAGAAAAGTGTCTACCGTGACTCTGACAATTTGAGCCACACTGACTTGATGGCTAAGATGAACAAGTCAAAAAAGTTTGATCTGACTCCAGATCTCAGTACCATTCTCAAGGATGTATCAGTTTCTTGCAAGAAAACCTATATACCACATACTACTTATCGGTAACTGTGGTAGGACCGCATCCGTGTCCGATAATAGTACGTGAGTTTCAATCTGTGATCGGGAAAGAGACAAGAAGGCAATCCAATCAACTCTAGGGTGGTAAGCCTGATGTATTGGTGGCTTGTGTGGGAAGTGGCTCAATGATAACGTAAAACAGAGTAAGCGATTTAAAGAACCTTCGATTTATTAAAACGATAAATGGATTACAACGTTCATGAAGAACGCGGCACCACTTCTCACCTGCAAGATCCCGTGAAGGAAATCCGGCAAAACGATGAGGAATAACCCAGAAACTTCTAGAGTATTACAGAGGAAATAAGATTTGCATAAGAAAAACTGTGAGCTAACATTCGCTCATATAATGTGTAAAAGTAACATCGTTAGCAACGACTTCCGTCACAGAGAATCTTTTAGCCTCCAGCTCACCACTCCGCACGTGCCCTCCGACTTCACACGTGTGTTGTTGACCTTCTAGAAAGCTATATCAAAGCTCCCCTGTTCGAAGAACTTTGACCACAAGGTTCAAAGGCTGGAAACTTCTTCTGCAAGTCAAAGAGGAACTCCCACGTTGCTTCCTCCTCTGTTTCATTAGTCCAATGAACCAAAACCATTGTAGCTGCCCGTCCCTGTCTCTTAACCATTTTGCGATCCAAGATAGCCACTGGTTCTTTGAGTAGTACATCGGAGACAATGGATGGTAGCTGAGATGATGTGTGCACATTACCTACTACTGCTTTGAGTTGAGAGACGTGAAAAACAGGGTGAATAAGAGAACCTGTTGGAAGCAGTAGCTTGTAAGCGACCTTACCACACCGATCTATCACTTTATATGGTCCATAATATTTTGGAGCCAGTTTCTGATTGGGACGCATGACCACAGAACCTTGTCTGTAGGGTTGGAGCTTGAGGAAAACTGAATCACCAATATCAAAACTCCTTTCTGACCGATGTAGATCTGCAGCCTGCTTCATACGATGTTGCGCCCTCAACAAATGAAACTTGAGAATAAGGATCATCTGCTCACGCTCTTCCAAACTCCGAGCAACCACTGCAACTTTAGATTCGCCTGGTAGGTATGGAAGATGAATGGGAGGAGCCTGACCATAAACTGCTTCAAAAGGAGTCATGTGGGTAGAGGTGTGAAAATTAGTGTTGTACCAGAATTCTGCAAGGGCCAACCAATTACTCCAGAGATGAGGTCTATCACTGCACATGCACCTTAAATAAGTCTCCAAACAGCGGTTCACGACTTCCGTTTGACCATCACTTTGAGGGTGATAAGCTGTAGACATTTTCAGATCCACTCCTTGGAGAGTAAATAGTTCAGTCCAAAAATTGCTCAAGAAAACCGTATCCCTGTCACTTACAATAGATCTTGGACACCCATGGAGCTTAAAGATGTTGTCAAGGAATGCTTGAGCAACAGAGACAGCCGTATAGGGATGTGAAAGACCAATGAAATGGGCTGCTTTAGTTAGCCTGTCAACCACCACCAGAATGACTGATTTACCCGCAGACAGAGGAA